GTAGCTCTCTGTTCCACTGTAGCACGTGTAGTGGGGGAGTTCAGATGCTAGGAAATTTCCTGTTGTGTGAAACCATTCTCGGCTGTAATGTCTCTCCAAGGAGTTGCTCTAATTAATGCAAAACACTCTAGATACTACTTAATAAATACTAAGCTTCCTCTAAGTGGGACAAAATTAAGATCCTTTATTGAACAGTTTCTTTGTATGCCAGTATGTGCTGGAATCATCAGACCAATACATTCTATTTCAGGAAGGAGGGGAGAAAAATCTATAGCAAAAGCAGAGTTGGGAAACAATTATTTCTGCAAACCAACAACTCTTTCTGTACTTATACCTTAGTAAACTCAGGTCAACAGGGAACGCTCTGGGGAAGAAATTAACTGAGTAAATAAAAATAAACAGGCTGCAAAGCATAAATCAGAATCACAATGTCTCCAAACAACAGCTACTTAAAGAATGCTTTTTATCCGTGAGCTTAATCTGTTCTAATTAATGCTCCGAGTTTGTTCCTTCAAAAGCTTGCAACTGATCTGACATTGGTTATTTGCAGACACCAGCAAAAGGAGGCTGCCTCCAAAGAAGACCCTTTTGTCCATTTTTCTTGAAAATTTCTGGAAGGAAAATCTTCCAAGGAAAGTTTTATTTAGCCACTACAATTTTTCATGGATAATTCCAATTAGTTTATTATTAGTTCTGGTGACTTGGATAGCTTATGGTTATAAAACAACCAACTATTTCTTCAATAATTTTTTTTGTATCTGTATGTCTGAGCCACATCCCATATTTGAAGAATAGTGTTAAATATGACCTTACAAATCTTAAAGCTAAAATCAGAAGTGTTCAAGGTTTTGGTGTACTTGGAAAAAGCACCAAGCAAAATTTTTAAATACCATAGAAAACCCTCTAAATACTTTCTACTTCAGATCAGATTTCAATTAGACTTCAAATTTGAGAAAAACTGGTCCATCCCTCTGCAGTTATACCTCGAAAGCTGAGAAGTCTGCTGCTTTATTTTTCCCTGCTCTGTCTCTAGAAGCAGCTCTAAAGTCACTATAAGTTTTCTAAGATGCTGACACATAAAGGTATATAAAGTTCACCGAAACAAAAATGTTAAACATTGAAGACAGAGAGAGAAGTATCGGCACAAATTATCTTAACTACACTGACACATGTGGCTTGTTGTTTTCCCCTTGAGAATGGGAAATGAAAATGTAAGAAGCTTCTGACTTGGAAATTCTAACCAAAGAGTATCTCTGGTCCCGACATTACATTACAAGTTTACCATCACGGTGCTCAGATGGGGTAGCTATCAGAAAATGGGATGTGTGTGTGTGTGTGTGAGAGAGAGAGAGAAAGAGTGAAGGAGAGAGACAGAGAGACAGAATATTGAGCAGGTGAGGCTGAAAGCTTGGCTTTCAAGTCTGTTGTGACACCTATGACCAGACACTGGTTGAAAGAAGAAAACTGGATGACCCAGATGCAATCCTGGTCTTTGAAAACCAGCTGTTTATGTAATACATGTCAAGCAAGGAGGTAAGAGACTTGGAGATGCGTGTGATAGAATGATGTTTATATGGGTGTAGATAAAGATTTGTTTAAGTCAGAGTTATTATCTCAGACCTGAGTGTTAGCTGATCACCCAGAGCTCCTTGGGAATCCTGAGGCCCACAGTGCCACCCCGACTCGCTTTCTTCCCCTCCCCCCTTTTTTTCAGAAGCCAGAGGATGCCTGCTGCATCTCGCACTGTAGTGCAAACAGATCCCTGCAAAGAGAGAGGAAGATAAAATGAATTTAAATTCCAAAGGGGTTCCAGTGCCGGTTTCCTAGTCCCCGAGTCAGCAATGTGTTTGTGAAAATTCAGCCTTTTTGTCTCCCAGTAAAAAGGAGCTAAATCTACATCGGTGGCCCAGTCTCGGGTTGCTATTCTTTGCATTTTCTATTCGAGTGAATGAGAGTGAATGAAGTGGCCGGGACCCTTCATTTGATCTACTCAATTGCATAAAGTGACAGAATTCTAATATATTTGTTTAATGCTCTTCAATGGGCTTTCACTTTTTTGCTTGCAAATGAAGCATCCGTGGGCAAAGTTTCATCCCCCTTTAACACCGGGACATATTTCATAACTCAGGCCATGGTTTGAAGTGATCTTGAGAGGAGTTTTAGACTCAAAAAGTGGAAAATAAAGAAACAGATGTGAAGTTATTGTAAATTCCAAGAGTGGGCTCTGGGGCTATTGTGCCCCCACGGCGGGCGGTCCAGGGGCTGTGCCTTTCATGCTGTAATTGAAACATATTAATTAGATAATTTGTTGTTAGTTTAAACGAAACAAATGCATCCCCTTTGAGGCTTCACAGCCAGTGGGTTGGGTTGTTTTTGTTTTGTTTTTGTTTGGGTGTCTCTGTGCATACGTGGCTTTAGGAGAAAAAAATTAATTGACATTTATATTAAGAATTTCAGAACTGATTCGGATTCTTTCCTTTCTTAAATGGATACCTTTTACAAAGGGAGTTTCCATTCGTAAGAGTGTGAACCATCCCTCACTCTCCGCCCCCCCAACCTTGCATAAACTAATGTAAAAATCTTGTGTCTGCATCTCTGCATTGGATTCTTGGTCCCTCCCACCCCCCAACTTCACCCGACTCAAGCATCTGGCCAGATTTATGCTTCCCAGACACTCAATGTTCTCATCTGTTTTAAAGGAATTAAACTCACTGCTATAATATTTAAGCCATTCTGAGGATCATCGACTAGCACTGCTTCTGCTAGTCTTCAGGCTTTTCAAAACCCCCAACCCAGGCGAGAGGAGCAGCGAGAACTTCTGCAGCTTCTCTCTTGAGAAAGTGCACAAAATTCATTCATTGTGTAAGCGTTTCCCTCAAATCAGGGAAAGCTGTTTAAAAACACAGTTGAGGACAGAACCATGTTCAAAACCAAAAGTAACAGAATAGCCAAGTTTCCAAATCAAAAACCTAAATTTAAAAAGTCAGTACTGCCCTAATTTACAAAATAGAAAATAATATAACTTAACTCAATTCTGAGGATAAGACCCAGAACATACCTCTCGCTGCATGGTGTTGTCTCTTCCAGTTTTACTTTAAAGCTGTGTGTATTGACTTTGGACTTGAGCCAGGTGAAAAGATTTAACATGACAAAGAGAGCCATTGAAGGTATCATAGTTATAAACTTCCTTATTTGTGGGGCACTTCAGCTAAACAGGGTGTAAGTCTCAAAGCTGGGGATGAAGTAGGGTGGAGGCATGTGTGTTTGGGCTGCCTTTGGATTTCTGATCAAGGTCAAAATATCATCAATGGATTTTTTACTTTACTCATTCAACTTCGTCTGAGAAAAGATGCCTGCAATTGTGAAAGGAAGACTCACAATGCCCAAGTTATTTCATTCTTTGCAATACACCATGACGAACTTACCAGCTGAAAAGAACATTTTCAAATACTGAGTTGAAATCACTCCTTTGCTAAAACTCAGAAATAGGATCTGCATCTTATTTACTTCCATTTATTAAATGAATGTCTGTACACATTACTTATCCTTGAATTCTACTTTCTGTGATAGGAAGAATATTTTACCTGACTATTTAAGCTGATAACTTTTAAAATGTTGGAGGCCCATGTTAGCCCTTTATGCTTCCTTCATTCTCAGTTTGAACTCAGTGTTAGTAAATTTGACGAGATTAGAATATTGCAGAGATGGCTTCAATTTTATCTTGCAGGAAATGTATTTAATTTTTTTTAAATGTAGATGATTCCTTGTTGAGAACAAAGTTTCAAGAGTTTTCTAGCCCAGGGCGCATAAGTTTTCCAGGCTTTCTTTAGCTGATCTTGTTGATATAATTGTGAATTGGGCTTGATGAATGAGTTTAGTTGTCCCCGTCTGACGAGCTTTAGTAGCTTCATGCATTTTAATCAGTCCAATGATTCATTTATTTTCCACCTTTTTTTTTTTTTTGGCTGTGTGTGGGATCCTTCCTTTTAAAAAATGGTCACAACAGGATTAATTACCCTTTGCATTAATCCTAAAAATTTTTTTAAGATAACCCTCTAAATACGTAAGGGTGGCAGGTGCTAAGGATTCTCCTTATGGAGTATAATGATCATGATTTCTTTGTGGGTTTCTCTGGGTTCCACACGGGTCTCCTGTTTAATCATTTTACACAGTAAAGTGTTAATCACCATTTAAGTTTTTCTTTGTCTTGTAACTTCATTAGTTAAATACACACCTCACTCCAGAAATATTGTGACCCCTTTAAGAAAGTTTCCCTTGGCCTCGAGCCATAAATTCTTGGCAAATTTTAATTCTCTGCAAAAATCTGAAGAAAAGCAAATGCTTAGAGTCAAACATTTAAAATAACTTCATTTGCTTCTTTAAAATAAATGCATCAACCTTATTTTTCCAACTGAAAGTATGAAAAGAAATCTGTTTAATTCAAAGGGAACAGATTTCTTGACACGCAAGGTGAACTTTTAGATAACTTCTGAAAAAGAAAATTTCAACAACTGCAATAATTTAAAGGAGCAAGGAAGTGAATACTCACTTCAAAAAAGATGCATCAGAATATAAGCATTAAGTAAGCAAGTCTGTTTTTACTTTCTGTATCTTCATATGGCCTCTACCTGATTCCTACCTAAGCCTTACGTTTACATAAGTGCTGTATTTTTTGTAAAATGCATATTTTAAGATAGACAAAAATACATGTAAAGTACTGTATTTTTTCACTGTTTTTCTTTCAGCACTACACCTGTGCACCTGATCCATGTTAGAAATAGTTTGTTTCCTCTATCCCTCTGCACAAATATCTTCAAGAGTCCATCTGAATAATTCCTCCCCCAATATGCAAGTGCATAAGAGGAGGTTTGACTGTTTTAAAAATAAGATATGAAAAAGACAAGCTACTCGACGGATTGCAGAAAACATGCTTCGAGAACTACATCTCTATTGTAAAGTTATTGTTTGCAGCAACTCTTCAAAAACACACGAAACTAAAATTTGAATTTACATATTTTAATGAGAAAATATTATTTGGACTAGGTTCATAATTTAATGTAGACACCTTTTTAAAATTCTTTGTCTTAAAACAGGCATGCTGGGAACAAGAACATCAATATTTAAAATGCCATGCTAATTCTGTAAAGGGAGGGAGAAAAAGGAAAGGTAAAAATTGTACAGCTCTGATGACACTACAACTTTTTTTTTTTAACTTAAGCAGGTCACACCAGAACAACAGTTCGTTTTCCAGCAAATTACCTAAGATTCTAAAGGAATATAGCAAACAAAAAGTGCGTTTTACACAGTGTATAATCATTCCTATTCACAAGCATTTACACCTCTTTGCAGCCCTTTAGCTTCCGGGAAAAGTTCTTGTAGCACACAGAAAGACTCGTCCTAGAAAGATGTCCTACTCGGTGACTTCTCCTTAATGTTGCCAGTCAGCTATCTAGGTCCCTCTAAGGTTGCCCTGATGCTTTCTTGGTTGGGCTTATTTCATTTTCTTTTTTCCCCCTTCCAACAATAAAATAAATAGCTAAAAAGGTCTCTAAGTAATCGGAAAGTTAACATCCCAATTAACTTTCCCATCCCCCCTTCCCTCCCCTAAACCTGGCCAGAAATGAAAGGTAAACATTCACATTACAACAGGTACTTGTAAAGTGGGCTTTGCCGGCTCGCCCGCCAAGCAATACCGATTCAAGTTCACTGTTTACATTTTCCGGGCGCTTTGTAAACAATACAAGGTTACTTTGAGTTTTGTTTCGCTTGCGTGGAGGACAAGCGTCCCCTTCCCAGCTTGGCAGCTTCTCCCCTAACTCGCAGCGCCTGGAGCCTCAGGCAGGAAACAAAACCCCGAAACAAAAAAAAAACTCCGCAGAAGCCGAGGAGGCAGGGCGGCTGCTCCGGGAAGCTGTGGTCCGCCCAGCCCCTGCCGGATGGGCGGAGGCGAGCGGGTAGGAAGATAAGTGGTCCCATTTCGCGGCAGATTTCCACGACGTAGACAGAGATCCGGCCCTCAGCTATGCTGCGGCAGCCCTCAGGGGACAACTCTTCCAGGAAACCCCTGAAGCGATTTCTCTGGTCTTAGAACTAACCGCGCCGAGCCCCGAGCCCCGAGCCCAGCGGATCCGGACCGGGAGAATACGCGCTCCTCTCCGCGAAGGCGGGAGGCAGGATTTCCCCTGCCTCTTACATGGGAGGGGGGTTCAGGGGTCCCGGGGATGGGACGGCTTGGCTCAGGTGCCCCCTGCCTTCCCATCTTGTGAGAGCGAGGACAACTCCCACGCGCCTCCAATCCCAGCTGCAAGTTTGTGTTTTGTCTCCTGGGTCCAAAACAAAGTTCTCTTGGGGGAGAGAGGGTTGGCCAAAGGTGAAACGGACAAATTAGGGTGGCAGTCCCAGGTCGGGGAAAGCAGGACTGGGAGCTGGGGAAGACGAATGAGCTGGCGGGGAGGGGAACAAGAGGGGCCCCGGCCGCTGAGGGTCAGTGCACCGCCACCGAGTGCAAGGCGGAGGCCGGGCTGGTGAGCGTTTCGCTGGGAGTGGCGGGGCTGCTTTGGCTGGTGGCTGTTTGCGAGGACGTGGGGCTGAGTGAGGGCGGCGAGTTCGAGAGCAAGGTGGGGATGGGCGCGGGCAGCGCGGGCAGTGCGGGCACTGCGGCCGGCGTGGGCTTAATGGGCACTGGGATGGCAGGCAGGGTCTGGCCCGCTGCGTGGCACAGCGGCTTCAGCGGCACACCGTAGGCGCTATAATCGCCACTAGCCATGGAGATGGGGGTGGCCGAATCGATCATGCCTGCGGAACCGTACACGTGCGGCCAGCCAGTGCCCAGTGAGCTGCCCATGGTAGTCAACTGGTTGGGGAGCGGGTAGGCGGCGGGCACCGGCTGCATGGCGGAGAAGGCCAGCCCCCCAGGCATCTTGTACTCGCGCGCGATGATATTCTCGATGGCGAAAGGGTGCTTGAAGCCGGAGGGCTGCGCCACGCCGCCCAGGTTGTAGGCGGCAGCAGGCATCTGCGGCAGGTGCGTGCCAGAGGCCGCGAGCGCGCTGAGGCGCAGCTTGGCCTGCTGCTGCAGATACTGCGCAGCGTCGGCTGGCTTGCTGGGCGCCAGGTGGTCCGACTTCAGCACCTTGAAGCGCTTGCGGCGCCGCAGGAAGCTGCCGTTCTCGAACATGTCCCCGCAGCTGGGGTGCAGCGCCCAGAAGCTGCCCTTGCCCGGCTGGTCTGGCCGCCGCGGGATCTTGATGAAGCAGTCGTTGAAGGAGAGGTTGTGGCGCAGGCTGTTCTGCCAGCGCTGCGTGTTCTCCCGGTAGTAGGGGAAGCGGTCCATGATGAACTTGTAGATCTCGCTCAGCGGCAGCATCTTCTCGGGCGAGCTCTGAATGGCCATAGCGGTCAGCGAGATGTACGAGTAGGGCGGCTTCTGGTCGCTGTACGTGTTTCGGCCGGGCCGAGGCATCTTCTTGTTTGCCCCCTTCTTGCTCTGGGTCGGCGCGGGCCGGCGGCTGCTCGGATCTGGGAAGGAGGGAAGATAATGGGGGCAGGAGGGACATGGATGCACAGACAGACACTGCGAGGTCAGCCAGGCCGAGTATAGACTTCGGGGGTGGACGGTAGAGACCGTGGCGCTGGATCAGCCGGCGCCCGCGCTCTTTAACCAGCAACTTTGCGTGTAGAGTGGGGCGCGGCCAGGGGGCGCGGGAGGGGAGGCCGGCGAGGGGAGCATGGAGGTAAGCCGGACTTGAAGTGGACACCGGGGCAGGGACGCAGTCGCGAGTGGCTCACCTTAAAGTTGCTCCAAGTTGCGCGTCCGCATCCAGGATGGCGCTGCTGCTCGCCGCGTGCCTCCCGGTGCGCAGCCGGGGCGCAGTGTCCGGGCTCCGCTGGGCTCCGTACTTCTCTGAGCCCCGCAGCTCGGCCCCGCAGCGCCCCGCGCCGCCCGGTCCGCAGGGCTTCTGCCCAGTGCGCTGCGCGGGCGGCCGAGCTCGGCTGCGGAGTCCCGGCGCGGACGGTGGCAGCGGCGGCCTCGGGGCTCCGGAGGGCGCTGCTGTGGGCTCCGCGGCTCCACTGAGCTAGGTGGCTGCCTCCATGTCCTCCCTCGAACCATCTGATAGTTTTAAGCGGTGACAGAAGCAGAAAAGACCCCTGTAGCGGCGCTTCATTAATGTGCCACTTCTTAGCTATCATATGACAATCGCCTTGGGAGGAGGAGGAAGAGGAGGGGGAGCGGGGGCTGCAGAGGGAGGGGACTGAGCGAGACGGGAGAGCCTGGCCAGTTCTGGTTTCTTTCACACCTATTTACATGGACACCTTGGCCAATAGGAATCACTTCCAGCTCAAGACTGACCGAGGGGGAAGAGCATCGGCCACCGGCGGGGAGCGGGACGCGCCAGCCTGGGTGCGCGGTGTGAAGGTATGAGGAGGCGGCCTCCGCGGAGCGGGGATTCAGGCGACCACTCATGTTCACAGACGGAGCTGCCGCGCAGACGATGTTTGACATGGAAATTGCTTGGCTGGGGTATTCTGTTTCCTTTGCATTGTATCGAGTTTGTATTGTTAGCTAACTTCAGGCACGGCTTTCCCCTGAAGCAGACCGTTTTCCTGCGCTTGGCATTACCCGGGGTGGTTGCATGAGTTATTATAGTGAACATACACCCTTTCCCCGAGTCCTCCACGAGGCAGGTCAAAGTTTGATTTGACCTTCCTAGGCTGCTGCCTTAGCTCTGTACAGTGGGTGTGTACCTTTAAGTGATGAGGTTTTAAAAAGACCTACAAAAATATAATCGGACAGCTCCGCGTAAGAGCCCATTTTGAATCGTAGTGTATTGGCCAAATTAAAAAAAAAATTTAAAATAGTGTATCTGGGTGAACAGGCACGGTCTTCACTCTAAAAGTCCTCCAGGAATTTGATTAGACACAGGATGAAGGCTCTGGGGCTGCTGGGGCAGACAGTGTGTGGACCTGGGGAGGCCTGAGTTTGACACACTTTATCATCAGATGAGCCGCGTGGTCTCTCGTTTTCCCCAGGTGGTTTGAAACTTTAGGAATTAGGCGTTGCCTGGAAGTTTGCATTTTACAGCCGGAACTTTCCCCCCCCCCTCCTCCCCCCCGCCTTTTTGCATAGTGAGAACTTAGAGTTTAGAAAGCCCAGCACAAGCTGCCTGTGGTCCCACTGAAACAGCAGTACCTTCTAGACTTACAAAGACCCAGCGAGTTTTCTTTTTTTGGAGAGAGAAGAGGGCGGGATGTGCCTCGGGTCACCCTGCCTGGTGCGGGCAGCAGGCTCCCTTCGGTTCGGGGACGTCTCGGGAGGTTCAATGAATTATCATCATCATCATCATCACCGTCGTCGTCATCATCATCAAATTGCTATGAAATAGTGAGTCGACCCCGCCTGCATGCACGCCTTCTGCAAGTAGACGCTAGGAGTTCCCACGGGTTTCTGCACATTCTCCGACCTTTATGGTTTTTAAAAGAAATTTCTTTTACCGCGTTGTTAACTCAATAGCACCAGCCTACACTGAATCATCTTTGGTCCAGAAATGTGAAAACTTCTTTTTTCAGGAGGTGGTGGTGGTAGAGTTCTGGGTGTTAAGTTTTGACACGTTTCGTGGTATTAGAGCATTATTAGTGGAGCTGTTTGGGGTTAGCATAAAAAAAAAAGATCTTTCAGCGCGCGCGCACACAGACGCACACACACTCGCACACCCCTCCTTTAAACCACAGTTTCGGAGGTGGTCAATAACTCACCAAAACGTAACTTAAACACGATGAATTTAGGAGATTAAACAGTTTCATTAATATTGAAATGGCTCTCGCGTCTGGGCTGCCTCGCTTGAAATGCAAGCGCACGTTTTTCAATATTAACAGAAGTGCTTGAAGAAAAGAATAATGTCATCTTCTTAATTCGGAAAAAAGAACCAGGAGGAGGAGGTGGGTGCGAGGGGGTGGGGGAGGGACGCTGACCTGTTTCTGGGATGCAGCTGGAGAAAGGCAGATGAACCCTCCGCAGATAAACCAGGTGGACCGGGTGGAACCTCTGCCGAGTTTCGGCGCGAGGCAGCAGAATTTCCCGGAGCTGCGTGCGCTTTAGCTCCTAACGAGGCGCGGCGTTTTGGAGATTAATTGATGCGGCCGGGTTCCGCTCGACGGTCCTGGGATGGGAGGAGCTGAGGAGCCCGGGAGCCTGGGGGACCCCTGATGAAGAATAGTAGTGAGGGCTTGTGTTTCCCAGACACAGAGGCGTTGGTCCACAACTTTGCTGCTACAGAAGGCAGTTGCACCGGAGGTACAAAAGAGAGCGCTCCTGTGGGCGAGGCAGGAGCGCTCCTGGGAAAGACAGGTACCAGCATCAAAGCCCCCAAGGATTTTTAGGATCCTCTTAGCAAATATGTGCGTACTGATATACAGAAACATAGATAAAATATTAAGAGTGGTTGGATTTGGGATACGGAAGGGTAGGAGTGAAAGATCGCGCCCCACCCCCCACCCCGTAACAGCCAGGAAGATTCTTTTCTACCCGGTGTGTGTGCGTTTTGACGGTGGGGGATGGGGAGAGAGAAATGTTTTCTTGTTTTAACAATTGGCATTTGGTTGCCTTGCAAAGGGCCTTTGTATGGCTGTCCAAATCATTGCTCGGGGTAAACAGAAGATTAACTAAATTCTAACAGTGGAGACGTTTGGGTTAAAAAACAATCCAAGTTGGAAGAAATCTTTGTCCACCTTCCCGGGAAAGTTGTCCTCACTAAGTCGGACATGCAAGGATACCAGTAAGAATTTGTGTCTGAGAAATCTTCAAAGTTTGGCTAGGGTGAGAACGGGAGGTGAGGCACGTTGCCCATGCCCAGGGTTAATTAAGGAAATCGGACATCACAGCACAAGTTTGCCTTGGGTGGGGTGAGGAGTTGTGAGATACACATTCAAAAGGTGTATTTTGATACAAAATTGTATCTTGGTTCCTACTGAAGCTCTACAAAGCCCAGGGAAAGGGGCGGAATTTGCATGCTATTTACAACGTTTTAAGACTGGTATTATGAAGAGGCGGAGGGAGGGAGCACTTTTCCAGAAATCTTGAAAAGTGCACCACAGTCTATTGTACAGAACCCAAAGCAAACAGAAGCTTTGGGGAGGGGGCACATCCGACCCCGAGGCTTAGGGAGGTGTTGGGAAAACTGTATAAAATACACATAAGTCAATTATACCCATGTGCGAACCAAATGGAAATCTCTTTCGTGCAATAGCCATTCATCGCCTCCGCGGAGCCCACCACCGACCACCTTTCTGCTTGGCGAGTTCGCAATAGCTTCTTTTCCCACAAGCTGGACCACACACGGCTACAGATTTCGTAATAATTTATGCTAATTTCCCTCCATAAATCCACAATTCGCTTCAGTGGCACCCGGGCTGCTGAGGGAGTAAAAAGGAGACCGTGGGGTGACAAATACAATATTGATTTTGATTCCTTCTGTTGTCAAACAGGTGTGTGTGTGCGCGAACGGTGGGGCTGGCGTTTGGGGCGGGGGCTCTAGGAGAGGAAAACCGTTCCGCGCCCGGCCAGCCCCTCCATCCACGCTCCAGAAAGTAACGCGCCCTGGTTTGTTAATATTTACCAAACACCGGCGGGAGGTGGAGGGAAAGTACCCGGCAGCTTCCGAAGGTTTCCTAGGCGCCAAAAACAATACCCGCCTTCCCGGCTTGGAAAGTGAACTCCTGCCTGGAGCCTTTCTGCTAAGCCTTCCTTTGCCCCTTCTCCTCCTCCTTTCCCCTCCGAGGCTTTACCTCCCTCTCCTCGAGTGTCTCCCCGCCCCCAGTCGGAATCTCTCGCTCCCTCTCATCTTTCTTTCCCCTCTCCTCCTGCACCCTTGTCCCTCACTTCGCTTCACTTTTTTTCCCTGTCCTCTCCACTTTTTCCATCTTCTCCAAACGGGGGGACGGTGGCGGGCTGGCGCGGTGTCGATGTTAGGTTTTAGGGCCTCCTCTGGCGCACCCCACCTTTCCGGGCCGCCCCCCGCACGGGTCCAAATTCTCAGCACTCTCTGGGAACCCGCGCTAACGCACCGCGCCGCTTTGTCCCATCAGTCATTCTTCACCAAATCTGCACTTTGGTGGCGTGAAACGACTTAGCTTTCCTTTCAAAAGGATTTTGTTCCCGGGCTATTCAGCACTAAAACAAACTCCCTCAGCCTGTCAGCGGTCAATTAAAAAAAAAATTGTCGTCCTGAGTGTCCTGGAGGCTGTTTGTCCCCGGAATCTGTGCGCCTCCACCGCCAGCACCCCGCGTGGCATAGCTTGGCTCTAACATTCTGGATCTGGGGACCAGAGGGAACCCGCTCAGAGAGTTCTACCGCTCTGGGGCCACGAGACGGCACGGTCTTCCGGGTTCATAGGCCCTCCCCCGCCACCCAGTTGGGCGCCGCGCCAGGGGAAACTTATCAGCCGTGACTCTCCCACGACTGCCCCGGGAGTTTGAGCCTCCACTCCCGGCCTCTTCCACCGAGTCTGGCGGGAAATCAAACTGCCCAAGAAAGAGAGGCGGGGGAGGGGACACACTTTGCGCTCTGCTGCCGACGGCCAACTGGCAGTGAAAGGACACGGCGCCCTCTCCTCCCCCTTCTTCGCCAGCGCTCCCCACTCCCACCCACCCCCGCGCCAGGCAGAAGGAGCTCACCTCTTTTTCCAACTAGTAGAAAAGAATATCTGCAGGGAACTTCGGAGCCCTGTATTTCATTGGTTGGTGACTGGGCTACATGGAGTTTGGACCTTAACTCATAACAGGGAGGTTGAAAAGCAACTTTGGAAGAGGAGTCCATTGCCTACAATCCGTTCTCCCCTCCCGGTCCAATCTGGCTGGGTTCTAAGAAAAGCAGCAGTCTCCACCT